AAAAAAAAAAAAAAAAAAAAAAAAAAAAAAAAAAAAAAAAAAAAAAAAAAAAAAAAAAAAAAAAAAAAAGACGGGTGGCTGCTGCCTAACTAGTTTTACACGAAACAACGCGACCGGGCTTTTCTGCATTTGTAATACAAGATACAAGTCATTATGATTATCAACTTATGATGGCCGCTAAGCAGGCGATTATTCAGGTGGCAATCTTGAGGAAATCATGTCACTAATCAAAAGCTTAGGAACACCGCACAGTGGATCGAGTCAATCAGAGAGCTCGGACATGAAATTTTTCACTAAAATTGTAAATTTTCACGTTTAATTCGTCGCATTTTAAATTTTGAGAAGTCCTTCAAGAAGAAAAGTTTACCTACCAGTAAACCAATGGAAGCATTTTTAGAATCTCAACGTTTTGATTTAACGGAGTTATAAGCTTTGAAAGTTTCCAAATTTTGTCCGACCACTCTCATTGACTCGATCCACTGTACCTGCATTGACTTACCCTGCTGAGACGGAGCTCATGAACGGCCATTGGCCAACCTCTTAAGAGTAAGGAGTACATACTGAATTGTTTCAGCACGTAGTCATTCATGAATAACTAATAACGCCCAATTATAATTTCCTCTCCTTCATCTCCATCCTTTCCTCTTTATGTCGATCCTGTTCAAATGTCTTCATTTTTACTGGAAATGCCTTTTTTTTCTAATTATGTTGCCTTGACTATATTTTTCTTCCTCAGAATATCCGAGAGCAAATGGCTACAAGCCTCGAAAAAATGAAAGAACTTGAAGATCAGGTCAAAGTCATCCCAAAATTACAAGTAAGTGTTGTAATCTTTATCACTTTAAAATTGCTTTCGTGGAGTGTTGAGACCTTTAAGCTCATTTACCTGAATTACTCAGCTTAACTTTTTCCAAAGTATGCCTTCATCATAACAGGATTTCTTTTGCAACTGTACTAATACCATACAATATTGTTTGTCATAATGGAATTTTAGCCATATAACTGTAGGAAAGTTACGCTAAGGTACCATAATTTTATACTCACAAAGTTTTCGGCAGTTCAAGGTGAGAAGACTATGAAATTCTACCAAATTTAACCATATGAGTACAAATGTTTTTAGCCTCTTGTCTTTCCCTTACATTCAAGTCTTATGTAATTTTTTTTTTTTTTTGTTCATTTATTTTTGCCATAAGGCCATACTTTCTTATTTTTTAGTTAAAAGAAAGGCTGCACAAAATTTCACAATTTTCGTCCTCTGTAGTTCTGTACTCTCCCTGTATATAGGAAATAAACCTATTCCATTTTTTTGCCGTAGCTATAAGTTATTTATTAGTATATAAGTTAGCGATAGTATCAGCTATAAGTATTTATTAATTAAGCCAAAAGAAGTGGATGAAGTTTGGAGGAATTTACCATGTAAACATATAGAATAGCACTTTTTTAATTTTCATAAAATCGTTTTATTAAATCAATAGTCACTCAACTTAATGTTTCATTGAGAAGAAAAAATAATTTGTTTGACACTTCTTCAGCTATAGAAACTTCCTCAATAACTAACTGTTCAAACTAAAATTGAATTTTTACCACAATGAAATCTTTTTGTGTAGTATGACTTTTATGGAAAATTTGTTATTATAAATTTTCTTTTTCCCAGATTCAACTTTCGCACCTGAAAGAGGAAAAGAAAAAACTCCTGCAACAGCTGCAAGAAAAAGATGCTCAATATGCTCAGTTGAAAATGCAGGAACTCCAGCTATCGAAGGTCAATGAGATGAGGAAGCAAGAACTTCAACTGGCCAAACTCAACGAGATTGACAAAGATTATTATCAAATCCTGAAAAAGAATAAAGACAATTGTAGCTTTGAAAAAGACAAAAAAGGTACAAAATGTTTCATCACAATCTGTAGCATCACTTTTGGATTTTTTCAGTCCCATCATGCAATGGACCAGTAGACAAAGTGTGAATTTAAGCAGTGGAGTACATTTTTCCTCTATGAAACACATAGAACACAATTCGCGCAATTAAAGTAGACTAAAACCAACATTTAACTAAAATAAGGATGTTTTTAGTTTGCACTAATTACAGAAAATTTGAATTTAATGCTTGCAAAAAAAACAAGAGTCCCTGTGAATCAAATCATGTACTACGATGGTTTAGGCAGCCTTCTCAGTCTAGTAATGTTCCTTCCTTACCCTGTGTCGTTCAAAGGGTTAACAATGTGCAAAAGCTGAGCTGAAGTTGCTCTTGTTATTATTATTACTTTCACCCTGGTTATAGAGTTTTTTTTTCTATCGCTCATCAGAGTGTCTTTCTCTTGCTCGCCATTTTCCTAGTACTATACTGCCACGCTAGGGAAGAACGCTGCATGAGCCATCAGGTGTGACCAAATTTCCTTCAACAAATCATGAATTTTCAGTAGAATTTTTAAATATCTCTCATCCAATTTTTCAGAGGATTTCGTTCGTAATTTCATCTAATAAGTCTAAAAATTCAAAGAAAAAATGTTCATAACTTTCTTCACAAATAAATTTTTTCTGAGAGAAAACATTACTCCTTTTGAATGCTCATACGGCGTTTATACTTAGTACGGCAGCAAAAGAACAAATTTAAATCTGTGAGTGTGGAAACACACCTACTTGGAAGAATGAAAATTCTCAGGACACAGATAAAAAAAACTGCACAGTTAGTTAAGAAGCTAGTATGAAAAAAAGCTTTTTGATGCTGCTGTTTCAAGCATTGCTGCTTGTAATCTCAAAATTCTGTCTTACATATCGACGGTGTAAGTCGGCAATCACATAACTCGGTTTGCGACGTCGCAGACCTCCTGTCCTACTTTATTTTTTAAACGGAAAACTACTCAACAGCAATTCTTTAAAACTGCCGTAATTTTTCTTCTCTGTGCAAAGAAAATTCTACAAAAACTTCAAGGAATGATGTCAATTTGTTCTCCTTTAAAAAAAATAACATAGAGGAGGAGATTTTCAGACACCGCAAACGAGTTATACAGGGTGTCCGGAAGTTAACGTACTTAATTTTCAGGATAGCTTTTTCGGCTCAAAATAAGACTTTTTTTCCTATACACATATGCCCGAAAACGCTTCATACGTGAGCTATGCGCTTACAAAGTTGCCATTATTTTTCGTTCAAATTAATATAGCTCCTCGTCATTTTTTCATAGGTGGCTGAAACTTTGCATAGGGAGGTATTTTTTAGCGCTCCATTCATTTTTTGTGTTTTCAAGGACGTACGTCTTCGAAAAATGACGTTAGAAGCTTTCGCGAATTTGAAAATTGCGATAACTTTTTTGGTAGATGATATTTCGAAAAACGGATTACGGCACGTGAAAGAGTGTAAAAAATCAAGGGGTCCAAGTACTGCACAAAATTTTCCGGAAACGCGTTATTTCGACGCAAAAGAACTTTGAAAAATATTAAGATTTTCGAAGCTCCTTGCAGTGTAGACAATTTTTACTGCAAGGATTGATAAATTGCCTACAGAGCAAGGGGCTTCGAAAACCTCGAAGCTATTGAGACGGCTCTTGACCTTTCCCTCACACTTTTTCCAGGCTTGGGACTGGCCCGAGCATCATCCTACGAAAATCGCGGTTAGGCGGCGATATTTCTGGTATCAAATATCCACCGAAAAATCATACTTGGAGGCTTATCGAAAACATGGTTTCAAATGGAGCTTCACAAATCTTAAAATTTTTCAAAGTTCTTTTGCGTCGAAATAACGCGTTTCTGGAAAATTTTGTGCAGTACTTGGACCCCTTGATTTTTTACGCTCTTTCACGTGCCGTAATTCGTTTTTCGAAATATCATCTACCAAAAAAGTTATCGCAATTTTCAAATTCGCGAAAGCTTCTGACGTCATTTTTTGAAGACGTACGTCCTTGAAAACACAAAAAATGAATAGAGCGCTAAAAAATACCCCCCTATGCAAAGTTTCAGCCACCTATGAAAAAATGACGAGGAGCTATATTAATTTGAACGAAAAATAATGGCAACTTTGTAAGCGCATAGCTCACGTATGAAGCGTTTTCGGGCATATGTGTGTAGGAAAAAAAGTCGTATTTTGAGCCGAAAAAGCGATCCTGAAAGTTAAGTACGTTAACTTCCGGACACCCTGTATGATTGTCGACTTACACTGTCGATATATATGTGTATATAAATCAGCAATACTAAACCGTAAAAAAATGACAACTGAAATAAACTGGAATTGGTGGGCTCCGTTCTCACTTATTCACTTGTATAACCATATCGACCTTCAAGGGATGGAGGCTAATTTAAAATTTGAAGTTTTTACAGCATCAGATTTATTTGTTTCATTCCAGACAAAATTAGCACCCGGGAAGTGGCTGTTTCATGCACATCTATTATGCGAGATGTAGGCGTGATGCATTCTGGTCCTCGACTTTACTCTATCTCAACCAATACCCCAGTTAAAACATTCAGCGTCAGTTCGATCCAGCAAGAAGAAATTCTACCTATCCAGCAGAAAGAATCAATCATAGACCGGCTCTCCAAGCAACTCAATCCCAGCGTCGGGGTACAAGTTTCCTCCAAGTTGTCACCATTACAAATCATTGAAAAACGAAGTATCGGTGTCCAAGTTGTAGAAGAAGTCCGAAAAAGTCATGCCTCCATCCAAGTAAAAGTTGCCAAGTCAGATGTTTCAGTTGGCATTCGACCTCTCTTAAAAGATACCGGTTCATCAGACTGCACAATTGATGAAATAATGTGCGAGAAATGTAAAAGTTTGAAGCAAGGTGTCGCTCTGAATGCTCTTGGTATGACGAGGAGTAAATCATTTGATTATAGTAATACAAGTCCTAACCTAAAGCGACGGCATCTAATGAAGAATGTTAGTTGCTCAACAGATATAAAATTATATTCTAGAGGAACAAATACAGAAAACCTAGCAATGCTAGGGTTGATACGGACTGTATCCTGTGGCACGGATGTCAAAACACAAAGTAGGGCTGTCAATACTGTGCAACCAAAGTTGGAAAGAAGGGAAATTGGTGTCAATACAAAAGTGAAAAAGTTTGCCGATGTCTCTGTTGGTGACTCGACGAAGATGTCTCCAAAAATTGAAAATGGACCGTCTATTTGTGATAAATGTAACTGCACAATTCGTAAGGTAATTATTATGATTACATTCAACATTATGTGCTAGTATCTAATTATCAAATGATAGCTTTTGTGCAACAAGATGCGGGCATTGGACAGCCTTTGGCAAATTTGTTTGTCTCTGAAAAGTTATAATATGAAGTTCTGAATCAATTCTTCTTCAATTTTGATTTTATTCTCCTCTTAATCTATAATTTTTCCTTTTAGCATCAGAATTATTCTAAATTATATAGTTCATTTTTCGCAAATTTGTAGTGTAAAGGGATTTTTAAAATTGGCCGTTGCATTTAAAAACCATTATCGCTGAGAACTTCCTGCGTCCCTGGAGGTAGGAGTATCTACATAAGTAATTTTGTAGATTGTAAATTCTTTCATCAATTTCAATCAAGCAGGATCCAACAGTCATTAAGTGCAAATTTGACTCACCTGCTTTCTAAGAAAACTTAAATGATTATCATTATCCAAATCCATTTTTCACCTGCTATGAATAATCCAACAATGTCTTCAATTCTTTATTACAGGTAGCCAATGACATGTTGAACACAAATATTAAAGCCAAATCTGAGGCTGTGAAAGTTGAGAGGCCAGGGTCTCTAAAAGTTGACAGATCAGAGTGTGTAAAGGTTGAAAGAAGTGAATCCATCAAGTCAGAGAAATCTCCTTTGTTGGTGTCGAAAATCCCCAGACCCAAAGCAGCATCTGCTTCAACTTCAGCAACCTCATCACCAAAACCAACACGGAAAGTCCTTACGAGGCAGGATACATACACTAAAGTGTGCATAACACCTCCCCTTCAGGAACCTGAGAAATCGAGTCTGCCAAGTATTTCCTCATCTTCCAACCTTAAATCAAAGTATGTCCTTTTGTTTCAATTATGATGTTTCTTCGTCTCAAAATTATGGTTTCTTTCGCATAGAGAAAAAAAAGGAGGTGGTTGCAGTTGATTTTTTTCACCCTGTTATGTAAGTGGGCACAATATGGTGTTGATGTTGCAGAAAATCTGAGTTTCAAAGCATGAAGAATGAATCATTATGTCCTTTTTTCTTGCATAGTTTAACTCAAAATATAACTTCAAACACTTAATATAGAACGATTCTTTTCCATAAATTAAACCTTTTTCAAGAAAATCGGGGAACATTTTCAGAGAGTGAAAAACTGGAACAAAAAGGAACAAAAAAAATGGAACGAACATGTATGAAACTTTCTGAAAATTAACTCCTGAGATAATTCAGTAGAAAAAGCAACATGTGGAGAGGCTTGGGAATAATACCCTCTTTCCCCCTCTTTTCCCCCTCTTTGAGTCAGCTGCTTCACACCACCCTCTTCAAAGTTCAGACAACCCCTTCTCCAACCCCTCTCCCTCTCTACCCTACTCTTTGCTCTGAATCAATTGGTGCCCTCAAGCTGGGCTTCGAGTTCACTCTAAACAGCACAGGTTATGTTTTGTTTGAAAAAGTGTGTACATCTGTTGTCGGGTGCTATTGATTCTTGAAAGCTAAATGTATTCTTAAGTCAGTTCATCAGAGCTTGATGCGCTTTTGAGTTGATTTTATGGTGCCATATGTAAACTTGTAATACATTTTTCTTCATGCCAAACGAGTCAAACATTGGTGATGACCCTATCATTAGGAGGTTGAGTCTGAACATGATTATGAGTTATCAGTAAAAATTTGATGTTCTTTACGCCAGTGTATTGCTCAGGACGTTAATGGAAACATTTTCTTTTACGCATGCAGCAAACTGTTTGGCATGCAGACTCTTTTAAGTAAGTTCTATTTATCTTTTTTCAATTCGTAGAAAATCGTCTTGTCAAGAATCAGGATAGAGGCCTGAACTCCTCCACAGACTGCAGGTGTTAGCTGCTTTTAAAGTGGCAATGAAATCAGCAGATTTTAACCTATCCAGAAGTAGTCCATTGCAGTCTTACAATATTTTGAAGTATACTAAATTAAAAAAATATCAAACTTCTTCTCAAAAGTTGAAATTTTAATTGTCTCCAATTTTAAGGCCCTGAAATAAAACAAATATATTGAACATTAGTAAGGAGGTATCATGTCATCACCTTCTGACCAGAGTATCACAAGTGCCAATCCTGATAAGACTAATTTAAAATGGAAATATTTAATCGCGGCGGTTATAAACGTAATAAAGACTTGAAGTTTTGAATACATGTTCAGAATCTCTCTTAACATTTGATGTGGAAAATTAAGGAGAAAAGTCAAGTTAGGTGTCTGTTATGGCGCTTGTAATACTCTATTTTGGTTTTGGAGACTTAATGGCGCTTAAGATAAACTTTTTCTATTTCTTTATCAAATTTAAATAAAACAATAGATGATACCTAGATGTTTTTCGAAAAGTTTAAAATCATAATATTTGACCGCTGAAATAAACCAGAAAAGTCCCGAACCACATAAAATCATTCTGTATTAAAATTTTTCATCAATAGCGCTTGAGATACTTTGGCCACATGGCGATAATGTATGTATGAAGAAAAAGACTGTAAATGGTAAAAGGTGAAGGAAGTCGACTTATCATAAAATAAGTTTATGCAGAAACTGGAGGCTTTATTAGCTTCACCTCATGAAATGGTAATTTTTTCCCCTATCGGTTTCCTCTAAAAGAAGAACCGATTAGGCGAAAACTTTAAATTATTAAACAGTCTACTGTTTTCTGCTCTTTTTTTGAAAGTTAAATATCATTCGTTTTTATTTTTTCAGATTAAACGCCTCGGAACCGAATTTAAATGCTGGCAGTGATGGCTCAGACATCGTATCTCCAGTCAATCAAGAGAGGTCTTTTGACTCTGAGGACCTGCTCTTCCAACCCATTGATGAAAATAGAGAAAAGTAATTTGTAACTCTTTTTACTGTTTTGATTAGTTCTTTTCACAAGGCATACATGTATTTTCTATCGATGACATTTTTCAAGGCTCTTCCTTTTTTCTTTTGAAATCTTACCTTTTTCAACTGATATTTTTAATTGCCTTCCAGTTGATGACAAAAATAATAAAAACATGAAGTCAAGGAAGGATCATGATAAAGTGTTTAAAGCATCTGGCTATGATTATAAACAACAAGGGTCGTCCAGAAAGTAAGTTTACCTGTTCAATATCTCCTAAAGTAAGATAGGTAGAGAAAATCTGTAAATGGCGTTAAAATGTAACTACTCTCGACCCTCTAATGCGCTATGGATTTTTAAATTTGGCTTAATAGAACTCTAGAAAAGAGGGTTTTTCTGAACCCACCTCTCCTCCGCACCGGTCCAAAATTTTACGAAGCTTCGTTCGCAAGTGAGCTGCTGTGTCTATCGATTATGGCAAAAAAGTGGCTTAGAGGTGGTTGAATCGCATGTAAATCACAAGGGCATTTTCCAACAAGGAATTAGCAGGATTAGCCGTGTTTACTTCAAAATCAGTTGCATCCGAGCAGAAGTTTACAAAATTATCAACGTTCATTCTCATCAGCTAACGGAATCCTCCATAAGAATTCAAATTAGTCTGGACGTTCTTGTAGAAATTTTGTCAAAGATGCATGATTTGGAAAAATATGCAACTTTTACAACTCTTTTACCATTATTGAACCTGAATTTGAGCAGCTGGGGTCACCTTTCTTGGCAAAAGAACGAATAATTGGGTTCAATTCAGACACCAAAACCAAATTCAGCTTTACAACTCCACAAGTTAACTAATTGTAGCATAACATTTCCATGTATTGCAGTCCAAACCCACCAATAATCAAAGTAAACACGGTCAATCCTGCCATTCCCTTGTTGGAAAATGTCCTTACTTATGTTTTACGTGTGTTTCAACAACCTCTAAGCCACTTGTTTGCCATACGCAATAGAGACAGCGGCTCACTAGCGAATAAAGCTCAATAAAATTTTGGACCCGTGCAGAGAGGAGGTGGAAGTGGGTTCAGAAAAACCCACTTTTCTAGAGCCAGAGCCTTTTCTAGAGTTGTATTAAGCCAAATTTAAAAATCTATAGCGCGTTATAGAGCAGAGAGTAGTGCCTTTTCATCGCTTTTTACAGATTTTCTCTACCTATCTTACTATATTACTTATATTGGACAGGTTAACTTACTTTCTGGACAACCCTCGTATTTGTCCAAGACTGTGCCAGATGGACAAGAAGTTGAAAAACTTTTTTCTCAATCCAACTCAAACAGCAAATACCACCCAATAATTTTTGAATGTATGATTCCGGAACATAAGATTTCATTAATTATTTGTATTTTTTTTCTCTTTTTGTATTATAGAGCTTCGCCTAGTCCTGAAATGAAAGGAGCCATGAAAGTCCTGAACGATCATCTGAAGAAAGTTCCAATTAACCAGTTACCTCAACAACTGCTTAAAAACGCTATCAACATTATTCAACAAGAATGGTTCAAAGTAAGTGAAAGTTTTTTTTTTTTCAAGCTTGATTCTCAATGAAGGCAAGTTTCATTTATTTTATATGTCCAAGCAATGAATCATTTGACAGTGAAATCCTTTCCTAGAACATAAATATTTGTTTTCATCCCAATACATATAATGTTTCTAGCAAATCAAATAGGATCTTCAAAGCTTTGCATTTTTTTTTTTTTTTTTTTTTTTTTTTTTTTTGCGTAACTGTTGTCTAGATGAAGAAGGCATTCTAATTATTTTTTTAAATAGCTAAGCACAGTTTGTTGCAAAGTTCTGGGGTATGTCGGGAAAAAGTTTTGCATAAAAAAAAATATGCCTAGTTTTTACTGGGATTTTGGTCAAATTGGCAATGGAACCTGGTGATTTAGGTTGATAATGTTGCTCTTTATTTGTAACCAAAGCTCATTGTCTCGCAAAACTCATCCTCTAATGATTATTTTCAAAAATATTACATTAATTTTGATTAGTTTATCCCTCTCAAGAAGCTTTATATGTATTCTTTGAACTTAATACTTGGTGACCCTCTCTGTTTAGGTATCCAGTTTAGCTGCAGCGAATCATCTTGTTGTAGAAGACTATTTAGAATGTATTGAAGAATATTCAACAGCTTTACTGGAGTTTATTGTCAATTTGCGAGATGCATCGGTAAGTGAACATTTTATTCTTAAGGTACTCATTGGTAAAAGCATAATACATAGGTACTGAACAGTGGCTCATCTTCTTTTTTTTTTTTTTAAAGTTTTTAAAATGTGTTTGTCTACTCTTGAAAGTTTTAGGAAACTTTTCAAAAGTCCATAAGGTGAATCCTCATCTTTTGTGTCATGCATTCTGAGTATGATCACTGTATTTCAAATTTTAACCTTTGGGCAAATTATTGGAAAAGTAAAAATGTCAGTCTGTAGATGCATTATTGAAGAATGTTCATGCCGAAATTCATCCTCCCAAGTCTTAAAACCAAGTCAAACGTCCTGATCTCAACTAACTATTGACATCAATACATTTAAATCAATTGCAAAATGGAAACAGTGATTTTGACTTTATTTCTAGATTCCGGAAGATAATTTTTGGCAAGATTATTCTTAAAAATTGTGGAGTTAGGTGCAAAAACGTCCCTAGAGGCAAAATCATGGTTCCCCAAAACAGCAATTGAATATTTCATTATGGCACCAGTTAGTTACAGCATCAAGTATAGTATTCGCTGAGGTAAAAAAAAGTCAGTCATGTCCTCAAGTTTAAGTTGACTCGAGTGAAATACAGAAAGATATTGTTGGAAATGAGTAATAAAAGAAATAAAAAAATGTATTCTGGCCATTTTTGCATATAAAATCTGATTCGAGAAGAACTGTTCATGTTAAAATGACTGTTACTTGAGCTGCTTTTGCATAGAATCACTTTTAACCTATGAGGGATGCAAGTAGAAGCTCTAAGAAAAAAGAGAAGAAAAAATTGAAAGAAAAAGTTGAAGGATTTAAAAAAAAAATAATAAAAAAATTGAAAGTTTTCTACATAAAATGACAGTATGTATAATCCGAAAAGTTGCTCTCCGCAAAAACGACCTGAACCCGCTCAGGCAAGTTTTACACCTAACTCCTCGATAAATCTACAGACTGAAATTTCGATTTTCCCAAAATAATTCAACAAATGGTTAAATAATTAAATATGTTAAAATATGTATTAATAGTTAAATATGTCGATTGCACCCAGAAAGCATTGTGCGAAACCACCTTGAGACATCTTTCAAAGAGCTAAGAAAGCCCTAAATTTTTACTCTTTGAAAAGTCCACCTTTGATTTTGGTTTTGAACTTTCATGAACTCTGCTGTTAAAGCAGAAAAGGTAGAAACCATGAAATCCCGTCTTACTTAAATATATACTTTTCTACTTACATGCAATAGGTTGAAACTTCAACCAATGTTAGTTCATTTTTTTTTCAACATCATTTTGCAGGGCAACACAGCCATGCACTATGCAGTATCACATGGTAACTTTGATGTAGTAGCAGCGCTGCTCGACTCCAAAGTTTGTAACATCAACATGTTCAATTATGCCGGTTTCACGTGTTCGATGCTGGTAGCTCTCACAGAAATCAAATCAGACACTCACCTTCATGTTGTCAAGCGGCTCTTCCAACTTGCTGACATCAATATTCGTGCCACTGGGGTAGGTATTTTTATTCTTCTCTATCATAATTGAATACTTAAATTGAATACGACTCAACTTTAGAAATTTCAAGAATTGGTTTCATTGCAGAAAATGGTTCTTTTGATCATACTGAACTTTAATTCCCTTTTTTTTAAACTAAATTTTTCTTTACCTCCCGTAAAGTTCTCTTCAAGTAACCGATCTTTATCAGTTCAAGAATGACCCTTCTCTATATTTTTTCATTTCTTTCCTTATATTTCTAAGGATTAAAAGGTAAAATTGTGGCTCTTTTGCCTATCAACTTTGCTGTGTGGTATCAACAACATATCTGTATTTAAACATTTCAAATCATTGAAATCTGTAGGTTTTAATCTCATCCCTAGTAGCCCATTCTGTAAAATAACTGGGGAAAAAAGTAAAACTGGTATTTTTTATGAGTTTGAAAGTTGTACGTTAATGGGTGTGTATAGAAGTTGTGAATAGTTAATAGAGATGGAAAGTGTAAGTTTGATACAACTATGAGAAAATAAAGGCTATTACTTTCCAAGCTCTGGTTTTTCTGCTGTCTTACCTCTTGAGCAAGTGCGCATATAAGTAGGGGTGTTCAAACGAATTCTTGCCGGAACTCTATCGCTATCGTCTCTAAACTGGTGACAGTACCAACAGTGGCGATGATATCGATAACAGCCTGCCTTATCGGAGTTTTGAGAGCTCGCGCTCAATGCATTGTTGCCCTGTGTGTCAGTTTGTCAGACTGCCTTTTTTTTTGTTGATTTTACGTTATGTGCTACTAGGTATAGTTGAGTCATACTCTAACTGAACAATTCATTTATGTTGGTTTGCCTTTTTAATGGTAAGCTGATAGTCAGTGGTAGTGCTTGAATGATGGCCTCTTGATCAGCGCTCTACATGTTATCTGGTAAAAATGCCTTCTGTTTTGCGGTCCATCTTTTCTTTCTGCATTCTATATAATTAGCTACGTTACTCAAATCGTCGACCCTCTGATGCTAGGGTGTATCTCAATTTCCACTTGAACTCTGTTTCACATGGAAATCCATGCTCTCTGGGGCTTATGCGGAAATCAAACCCTTATGCCAGAAGAGCCGCGAAATGTATGATAAGTAGACGCATTCAATTCCAAAGTTTATATATATATGACTACTTATATGTAACGATGGCGGTTGTGAAAAATGACCTTTTCGAAACACGTTCAAAAAACTGTTTTGGTATCGAAAACATTTTGAGAAAATACCTGAGGTGTGATCTTTGAGATCTGTGCTTTATGCCAAAGCCGAACATATTAAATTTTTGTGTGACCATAATAGTTTTTTAAGTGTGTTTGAAAAAGGTAATTTTTTACATCTGCCATTGTTACATCTAATACCTAATATATAAAATTTTCCCAAGGGAAATCAAGTGCAGTTTATTTTATGCGTAGGATCGCTGTATTCAGCATCATCAGAAGTTTTAAAAAAGAATTTACACCTGACATCTTTTCTTTCCAGAATGGTCAAACTGCTCTGATGCTGGCCGCGGCTCGCGGGAAGCTGGTCACAGCTCAACTTCTGGTCCAGTGTGGTGCTGATGTAAACGTGCAGGATAACGATGGGTCAACCGCACTCATGTGTGCGGCCGAGCTTGGTTACATTGATATCGTTAATCTTCTCATCGCTCAGCCAGACTGTGATCTGACAATCACAGACCATGACGGAAGCACTGCTCTGAATATCGCCATGGATGCAGGCCACCGGAATATTGGTGTTGTGCTCTATGCCCAACAACACTTTGCGCGAGGAGCATCTCCTTTTGCTGCTAAGGGTAAACGTTCAAAAAGTGCAACACCAGCTTACAATCACACAGGTGCCTCACGACCAACCTCGTCACGAGCACTAACACCTCAGCACTCGCCTACCAAGGAAAAGAAAGGTCTCTAGGTGTGGTTAAGTAAATTGTATTTTTTTTCTTATAGCTGAAGTGCTGATGGATTTAGAAAATTTTATACGCTGTGAATGCGATGTTTAATCGAAGACAAAACGGATGAAGTGGTGAGGTTTTTTCAGATATCATTGCTTCAGGAAAATTTGTTTGTCCTGTTTTATTTTTCAGTCTTTTGACGAGGGCTGGTATTAATTTTTCCAAATGCTGTGAGCCACTTACAGAGTGTATGATGAATAACATATTTCTTGCATTAATTTGACCTGGTGAGCATAATCTGTGTATCTTTCTATGACGTTTTTCCTATTTGAATTATCAAATTTTTAAAAGCTGATTCGTTATGTACCAGACAACATAAAATTTAACAAAAAAAAAAAAAACTGAAAAATAGAAAATTAAAAAAAAAAATAGAATAATTGGAATTTATCAATCTAAAACTAAAATTGAGAATTTTTTCCTGGGGAAAAAATTCTATAATTTTGGTCACTCAATCTTTGTGCTCAAGGTGTCTTGCAATATTCCAAGATGAAATAGTTTTTTTTTATTGCTCTACGTAAATATTGCAGTATTGTTATGCACCTGTTTGCTGTTGTGTGAGGTATCAAGTGAATGTTTAGAATCTAAATCCGATATTGTTTTTTTACATATTTTTCGACTTTTAACACGTGTTTACTGAAGAACAAACTCTGTCGTAAAAGTACCATTTTTATTATGTTTTTTTGTTGCTTCTTAGCAAGGAAAAGAGTCTACATTACACTTTTTAGATAGAGTGAATATTGAATCGTTCCCTGCATTATGGGTCCATTCCTGTTTCTTGTGCCATCTAATTTTCGCTCAAAAAAATTCTACGATGACATACCATTCTGAAGTTAAGTAAGTCATTTAGAACATGAAGAGAGAGAAAGTGATTGAGAAAAAAAGAGAAATGCTGCTCTTTGATGAAATTTAGGTTTAATATAAACAACAATACGTATTTATTTCTGTCTTTTCTACTGTGCGGCTCCATACATTTTTCTGCGCTCTTGTACTTTATACAAATTACAAATTTCTTTTTACAATCCTGTGATTTCAAATCTTTAGTTAGTTTTTTTTCTTTTTTCTTGCTTACAGTTAACTTATTCATATTTTTTTTTTAATCCTCTATAGTGTAAATTAAAATAATGATATTACCTATTCATGATGTAATGCTACCTTCAGATATTTTTGGGCTAGTGTTAGCTCATGAATAAATTGATTATATGCATTCAAAAAAACAGTAATATAATCTCTCATCTTAAAATCCATCAAATTGTGCTTTTTCCGGCAAAGTAAATTACTATATTAAAAGAGAGCTATATTGAAACTGGAGAATTTTTTGAAGTATTTCCATGTTTTCCTTCCTATTGGAAGTTTCATTATCTTAATCTGAATTCTGAATGTGAATGATGAATTTTTCCCTGGCAATCATCAACTTTTTTTTACTTTTTATGCATTCGGAGTACTCCTTTCTTTCTTCTCCAGTTTTGAAATTGTTTTGATTGTTTCTGTGTTTGTAATTTCTTCAGGGGAAAGCCACTCCCATGCGATCTGATTGAAATCCAACTTAAATCATTCTTTTGAAATCTCTACCAAGTTATTTACTCCCATTTGTCCTCTTTAGAAGGATTATTTTCAGGTTTATTGTCCTTGTTATCACGATTACACTGTAAGTCAATTGATCATCCTCTTTTTTCATACTTTTTCACTTATTCTCTCATAGTTAAAGCATGTGTCGACTGTGATTCTCTCAAACCATATATCTCTGTTTGTTACTTCTACAGACTTCCTGTATTACTCTCTTTTTTGAATGAAAGATTACTCAACGTCAAATCTTAAAAACCTCTGCGATTTGTCTTATCTGTACGAAGAAAATTCTGTCAAAACTTCAAAGCAGGAGGTTGAATTTTTCTCCTTTTAAAAAATAAAATTGGAGGGAAGATTTTAGAATACCGCAAACTAAATACAAGGCTTGGGAGTTTCAATGCCCATTTCCTTTTCGACTTGTCGAGAATGGACTTGCCTCTGATGTGTCCTGTCTTTCATAACATCAGGCTCCAGCAAAACTCTGATTTCCATTGAATCCACCTCTTAAAAATGCAGATTTTATCTGGATCATCAATAAATTTGCACCATTGCTAATCACATGCTGCATTGTGCTCATAACACAAATGATTACAAAGGCAACAAGGTACCTCATAATATTGCGCAGTGCCTCTAGATAACCAGTCAGAGTGAAAATTAGGAATTCTTTAAGTGAGGCCAACAGATTACCAGGCAAAAAATGCTTCTTGATCCATCTCATTCTGAGTAACTTTAGAAAATACTCCATCAGCGCATTCAACTCTTTTTTTTTTTAGTTTTAATCATTTTAGATAGGCTTTGATATTTGAACATATCATGTAGAACTTCTTGGGAATTCAATTTCACTCACCATTTTTACGAGTGTAATTGCATCCAACTGATGAAAATATTCAAGTACCATACCTTTATTCAATGAGCGTTTGTGATTTTTATAAATCCTATTTTCAATTTGCCTATAATATTTATTTCGATCCTTTTTTTATTTTTGTATTTTCAATTTATGGAAGTTGATTTCCTAATTTGACCTTGCCGTAGACCTATTGATTAATGATAGGTATACAATTTTTATTTTGTGTAATTTTACTAAACTAGTTTTTTATAATTTTAACTTTTACTTCCTCGGAACTTATGTTTTCAACTGACTATTTCTGTGAAAATTAATATATCTTCGAGTTTTAAGTCCAATTTTTAAAAAGGGTCAATCAAATTTTAGAATATTATATCTATTTCTATCTTTTTCAGTTCAAGTATGTACCTAATCAAAATCTCTCTCACCTCCTAAATTAATCAAATCGACTGTCTAATCATTAGTTTTACTTGCACATTAAATAACTAATTTTAACTTGTTTAATTTTTTTCTTGGTATCTCTTTTTAGCAATCAAATCTAATGTTCAATGGTTCTAAAAAGTATATCTTTTTTTTCTTCCGTTGTATGATGTTGTAAATTAAGATCATAAACTTGATTAACGTTGTTGAAATTAGCAGTGTTTCTTTCTTCACCTCCTTAAACATGCATGGGGAAATGTCCTCAAAGATTATCTTTTACTTCCCCTGAATTTTTGAGTAATTGTCAGGATGACCTATTTTAAAGTTTTCCTCAGTAATTTCCTTTCTGTCATGAGATGAATAGAATTTTCTTAAGTAGGAGCTCACTACATAGCAGTAGTATTTTTTACTAAAAAAACTTTATTGAAAAAAAAAAAAAAAAAAATGAGAAAACCATGAAGAGTTCCTGTGGAGCAAGTATAACAGAAATGCACCATTTTTTGAAGTTGGAACTGAAAAAAAATAAGTTTGAAGTTTTGAAGCCTCTGTAAGACTCAATTTTACGTTCATATTTATTTTTTTTTTTAAAAAAAAAAAAAAAAAAAAACAAACAATTTTGACAGGGGAAAATTTACTTATCATGTAGTTGTTTTTCTTTTCAAAATGTGACTTGGCGTGTGCCTGATAAACCTGGTACATCTCTCAAATTTATTGTTATGAAAAAAAAAAGAAAAAAATTAAATTCAAAATAATTATCAAAATTTTTATCTCTGTGCAAGAAATTTTAAAATCATTTCTCAACACTTCAAGTCAGATGACTTTTCAAACAATTCAACGCACTAATTTTGAGATCAGAACTTTATCCATCTTGAGACTTATCTTGACAACTTATTTTCTTATTTCTTTTCGAAGAGAAAACTGCCTTCACCCTAATATTTTTGTAAAAATTTTCAAGAAAACTATCATTGCAATAGACAAAAAGTTTGAGTCGTGAAATATATAAATGAGGAGCACAAAAAAAAAAATGATGGCTCCCGCTAGCACAAACATTAGCTGCGAGGGGTTTTCTCAGCACGGTTAGAGCTACCATTTCTTTCGTTCTAAAACTCTTCAGCTAGAAGAACAGCTCTTGATGATATGAGGGTTTCTAAACTTAATTTACTGTTTGAAACAAAGACTCCACATAACTAAACACCCTTCGATTTTTCTCGATTTTCAACGAGGAAAACAATTTACACGGTAAACGTCCAGAAGTGCGTACCTCAATTTTTTACAGTTTTGAGTTGCTGCATAAACACTCCCTAAGAAACACGTATCTTATTGCTGAAATTCGTACACTGTTAGCTGGGTCAATGATTTGCCTTCAGTTGGCCGGCTATGCAAAATGACTGTCGTAACGCACGAATAGTGGTATCAGAATTTCGCATAGAGATTATGCAGTGGTTTGAAGGCGCTCTTGTGTATCGTATCTGAGCGGCCCTGTGCAAGTGTACAACGATGTTTACCAGAAATGGTCAGAATTTTGGAGTCTTCAGTCGAGCCGTAATTTTGAAAAATGTCCGAAGAACTTTTTTTTACATTCCAAGATTTTTATTTTCTGTAAGTCATATTTCAAATAGGAGAGTCCAAATGATCGGCTCAGATTTTGGTTTTTATTAAGTCTTCCTTCTTTGGTCATCATATTCTTATGCATGACTGAGAGATCGCAACCTACTCCAAAACGGTTGTGTATTGAATAAGTTTCGCATGGATAAAATGAGCTTTCGACTATGAATTGGACATATTTCTGCCAAACGGAACTATATGCATTTAGACATGAGCCATGAGACCCATAAGAACATATGCATAACAGGGCTCACATCGTTATACACATAGTTCCGTTTGGCAGAAATACGTCCAATTGTGAATAATCAAAATTTAAGAAAAGGTACTTAGTCTACTGAATCATTTGACAGGCGTACCTAGTGCGTGGATGGATGTCCTCCGGGTTTCTACGGGCACTAGATGGCTGTAGGTTTCTAATGGTATTTAAAGCGTGGTGGGAAAAATAGAAAAGAAAGTATTACCTATATACTTTTTTGAGGGTCCACGCAAGGACGATATATTCTAGAGACAACGCACTGTCTGCTTACCTATGGTTAACAGTTCGAGAAATTCTTCAAAATGCTGATTGAGTCCGAAAAATCACCTTATTCTCGCTACCCTCAAGAGTTATACCCTTCTACGAACGATGAAGAGGAGAGTAGGTAGACAGTTTTTTTTTACTCTCCTGGAAAACCAAATTTTCCGAGGTACGCACTTCTGCAGCCTGATTGTTGAAATTTTTTGTTTGTCAGGACGACATAGATGACCTAGGATAAAAGGCGGAGCGTGATTGGTCGGCTATGTCTTATCGCTGCTTTGTCGTGCCTTTGTTGGGTGGAATGAATAATATACTGTCAGAAACTTAACAGGTGCCGCGTTCGGCTCCTTAGGGTTCAGGGGGCTGACCCCCGCGTTCGGCTCCTTAGGGTTCAGGGGGCTGGCCCCCGCGTTCGGCTCCTCAGGGTTCAGGGGGCTGGCCCCCGCGTTCGGCTCCTTAGGGTTCAGGGGGCTGACCCCCGCGTTCGGCTCCTTAGGGTTCAGGGGGCTGACCCCCGCGGTCGGCTCCATAGGGTTCAGGGGGCTGACCCCCGCGTCCGGCTCCTTAGGGTTCAGGGGGCTGACCCCCGCGTCCGGCTCCTTAGGGTTCAGGGGTCTGAACCCCGCGGTCGGCTTCTTAGTGTTCAGGGGGCTGACCCCCGCGTTCGGCTCCTTAGGGTTCAGGGGGCTTACCCCCGCTTTCGGCTCCTTAGGGTTCAGGGGGCTGACCCCCGCGGTCGGCTCCTTAGGGTTCAGGGGGCTGACCCCCGCGGTCGGCTTCTTAGTGTTCAGGGGGCTGACCCCCGCGTTCGGCTCCTTAGGGTTCAGGGGGCTGACCCCCGCGGTCGTCTCCTTAGGGTTCAGGGGGCTGACCCCCCCTTTCGTTACTTAGGGTTCAGGGGACTGACCCCCGCGTTCGGCTCCTTAGGGTTCAGTGGGCTGACCCCCGCGTTCGGCACCTTATGGTTCACTGGGCTGACCCCCGCGTTCGGCTCCTTAGGGTTCAGGGGGCTGA